CCAGAAATGAATGTCGTTCAATTAGAACCTCGCATTACGCGGTAGGACAAACTGGTGGGTTTTAACCCTTCCTTGTTCAAGCCACAACTAAACACACTTTTAGGACTGACCATTTGGCATCAAAGTTGCCCTTCTATTTTACAAGACTTTTTTTTTTTTTTTTTTATCACTTTTGTTATATGGCATCGCACGTGGCAAAAGGGAATTTTATTGCACAATAATGCAGCACTAAAATGAGAAGTAGTTTTTAAGAAGCCAGGAAAAAGTGTGACAATGAATGCTATTTGTGCAGGTTTGCAATCCAAAAATGTTACATAGGCTTGTATAAATATTTGATGTTCACACAATGAATGCAAATGTCATCCAATGCCTTTGTCTTGGAGTTAATGGGGATAGTTTATTTTTTTTAATTCAGTCTCCCATGTGATGCTGCAACAACAGATCACTAATAAATATCACACTACTGTAATATCATGGAGTTTTTTTTAATCAGAAGAAATTTTAGGTTAATTACATGGAGTTTTGCTAATTATGTAAACATTGCATTGAAAAAAATTACAGTAAAGTAATTGTTTTTTCCCTCAAATAATTCACTGTTTTATCCCTATTGAAACCAAGGAAATAAAATCTGTGTCCAAATCTGCCTTCAAATATAAGTGACTCTAAAGTATCATTGTTTGTTTGTTTTTTTACCTGACAGTGTTCTCTGCAGTACCCATGCACAGTGCAGAGAAGTATAAACCCTTCTTCTTTTTTTTTTTTTTTTTTTTTTTTTTTGTGAAAAAAAAAATCAAGCCTTTAATATAAATCCTTATTTGTCCCGAAAAGAAAAAAAAAACTTAGGATAGACTAAAAAAAACTAAAAAGTGTGAAGTATGGACCTAAAACATCTCTGAAATAGGAGGGGGGGGGGGGGGGGGGGGGGGGGGGAGAAAGCCTCTAGTGCTCAAGCAAATACTATCAATATACACTGCTCAAAAAAAATTAAAGGAACACTTTGAAAACATCAGATCTCAATGGGAAAAATATCATGCTGGATATCTATACTGATATGGACTGGGTAATGTTAGGAACGTAAAGCTGCCCCATCGTTTGATGGAAATGAAAATTATCACCCTACAGAGGACTGATTTCAAAGATGCCCCGAAAATCAAAGTGAAAAAAATGGTGCAGCAGGCTAGTTCATTTTGCTGAAATTTCATTGCGACAACTCAAAATGGTAGTTTGTATGGCCCCCACGTGCTTGTATGCATGCCTGACAATGTTGGGGCATGCTCCTAATGAGATGATAGATGGTGTCCTGGGGTATATCCTCCCAGATCTGGACCAGGGCATCACTGAGCTCCTGGACAGATTGAGGCGCAACCTGGTAGCATCGAATGGACCGAAACATGATATCCCAGAGGTGTTCTATTAGATTTAGTTCAGGGGAGCATGGGGGTCATTCAGTGGTATGGATTCCTTCATCCTCCAGTAACTGCCTGCATACTCTCGGGCATTGTCGTGCACCAAGAGGAACCCAGGACCCATTGCACCTGTATAGGTTCTGACAATGGGTCCAAGGATTTTATCCCGATACTTAACGGCAGTCAGGGTGCCATTGTCTAGCCTGTAGAGGTCTGTGCATCCCTCCATGGGTATGCCTCACAAGACCATCACTGACCCACGATCAAAACGGCCATGCTGAACGATGTTGCAAGCAGCATAACGTTCTCCATGGCTTCTCCAGACCCTTTCACGTCTGTCACGTGCTCAGGGTGAACCTGCTCTCATCTGTGAAAAGCACTGGGAATCTGTGTTTTTCTAGTATTCAATGGTAAATGTCAATCGGCTCTATGGTAACTGGCAGTGAGCACAGGGCCCACTAGAGGACATCATGCCACCCTCATGAAGTCTGTTTCTGATTGTTTGGTTAGAGACATTCACACCAGTGACCTGCTGGAGGTCATTTTGTAGGGCTCTGGCAGTCCTCATCCTGTTCCTCCTTGCACAAAGAAGTAGATACTGGTCCTGCTGATGGGTTAAGGACCTTCTCTGGCCCTGTCCAGTTCTCCTAGTGTAACTGCCTGTCTCCTGGAATCTCCTTCATGCTCTTGAGACTGTGCTGGGAGACACAGCAAACCTCCTGGCAATGGCATGTATTGATGTGCCATCCTGGAGGAGTTGGACTGCCTGTGCAACCTCTGTAGGGTCCAGGTATCGCCTCATGCTACCAGTAGTGACACTGACCCTAGCCAAATGCAAAACTAGTGAAAAACAGTCAGAAAAGACGAATAGGGAAAAAATGTCAGTGTCCCCCACCTGTAAAACCATTCCTGTTTTGGGGGTCATCTCATTGTTGCCCATCTAGTGCACCTGTTGTTAATTTCATTAACACCAAAGCAGCTGAAACTGATTACCAAACTCCTCTGCTACTTAACTGACCAGAACAATATTGCAGGAGTTTAACTGACTTGATGCTATACTCTGATCAAAAAGTGTATCTTTAATTTTTTTGAGCAGTGTATATAGTATATTATCCACACACAGAGGGCAATATATTGTTGCAGTAATTATCCTTTAGTTATATAGTTTTAAAAAGCAACTCAAAAGTTTATCTTTAGGCAAATGATTTCTAACTGCCTTTTGTTTTTTTGCACATGCACCTTGGCTATACCAATTAAATCTGGCCATACATGGTTCAGTTTTTTTAATTTGGCCAGCAGGTTTTGCCTCACCATTTTATAAGTTCAGTGATGATGAAATAAACAGTACACTGACAAATGTCGTGTGTGTGACTCTGTGGCCACTGGTTCAGATGTGACAAAGAAGATAAAAGAGAGATCCTAACACGTCCATGAAATGGATGTGATCTGTCCCTTCCAATCTATAATCTAGTTTGAGTTTAATTTCTTCACTTGCAAGAGGAGAAAACCAAGCAATAAAACAGGTCAATGTCAATCCTGTTTGATGACAGCAGAGACAAGGAGATAAAATATGATGTTCTCCGGCTCGGTGTACCCGGAATTGAAACACAAAGCCTTTGTTTCCAGTGCTCAGACATGTTGCCGTCGCAGTGTACACTGATGACCATTAGATATGACAGAGGAGCACATATTAGCAGTGGGTCTGCCTTGGTAATTGGTATCACATTGACAATGAATGCCTCTATGACAGCATGGGGCTCAGTGCTTAGGAGTGATACATGATGAATAGGGCTTATTTTGGAGGCTTAGTATTCATTTCCTATTATTGGAAGTATTACTGATAAAGTCTGCCTTGCACATAAAATGGTGGGCATTCTTATCACAAAAAAATCAATGGGAAGTATGCAAATTCTGCTGGAGGACTTCATTGCCAAACATGATCTTTTGTGGATGTGCTCTTTAATCTCTAGATTTATACAAATGAAAGTTATCATTTTAAGATCCAAAACCAATATATAAATATATTCACAGCAAAGCCTGCTCATGGGAATTTTCCTAATAATAGATGTAAATCCAATCAAAATATCTCATAATTCTTAACGTATTATTGTCATTTTTCTAAGTTTATATCTATCAATAAAATACCTGGTGATCCTGCCATGAAGATCCTTGCTGTGGCACTTCTTGTTATGGGGTTATGTATCTGCCTCACAATTACTTTCCAGTCACATGCTTCCAGTGGTGACTATTTCATTTACTAAAGTCCAATAGGCTGTTCACTTTGCAAGGGGGATTTCGTTTAACTTAGTGAATGAGGGGAAGCTCAGCTGACATTGTTCAATCATGTGCAAGAAAAATATTTTCTTTTTAATTTTTTTTTATATTTTACCTCAACATGATTAAGTATTATATGCAAAGTTAAATTTTCATCACATTCACTAAGGGAAAATTCCCCTACAAAGTGAAGAGCCTATTTGCCATTGGTAAATCAAAATGATATCCACACTCAATGCTCACTTGCCATCAGAAAGCCTGGCTTGACCATGCCATAATTGTAGTGAAATATTTTCTAAAATGAAAACATGCAATTGCTTTTAATACTCCGTGTTCCAGCAAATGGTCACCTAGTTAGGGGTAAGAAAGTGTACAGAATTCACTTATGAAGTTAGATTAAAAAAAAAAAATTAAGCTCCACCCAATTACTGTAAAAAAACAATCCTTGTCTTTTGATGTTTTTTTTTTCCCTTTAAAGTACACCCTGAGTCTTCCAAGCCTTTTTTATCCTTGGCACGATGTCCTGTGTATGTGCAGTAGGGGCTTGCCGATGCTGCGCATGCCCAGTACTTTGGGTAGAATTCAAAGCACAGTACTGTGAATGCACATTGCCAGAGCTCAGATACACAGGAGCCACTACTGTTCAACCGCCGACCAGGCAGCCCCAGCATCCTCTACCACACACATGCCAGCTGAGCTTATCACCAGAGTACTGAAAGACAATGACCCCCATACTGCACATTATTATACAGGATTTATATAGCGCCAACAGTTTGCTCAGAGCTTTACAATATATGCACATGGGCCGGGCAGGCACAGTGCCGTGGCCTCTACTGCGCATGGGTCTCATACATAAGGTGGGGGGTGCTGGCATGTTGGGGTGTCACCAGGGAGACACTGGAGACGAAGGAGACACCCGTTAGAAACTCCACAGAAAAAAACCTTTTATAGGCTAGTAATGCTGTAAAGACTGCACAAGCTGTGAACATACACAGTGTGAATGAGGGCTTGTTTGAAAGTGCTTTTACTGCTTGTTCGGATTGCGCAAATACCATCGTGTACATGATCTGGGCACAGGTTCCCTTAACCATTTGCCTACAGGGCACTTATACCCCCTTCCTGCCCAGGCCAATTTTCAGCTTTCAGCACTCACAATTTGAATGACAATTGGACGGTCATGCAACACTGTACCCATATGAAATTATCAATTTTTAGATAGAGCTTTCTTTTGGTGGTATTTAATCACCTCTGGCTTTTTTATTTTTTGCTAAACAAACCAAAAACAATTGAAAATTTTGAAAAAAAAAGTTTTATCTTAGTTATAAATTTTGTAAATAAGTGATTTTTCTCCTTCAATGATATGAGGCTGCAGTGATGGGCACTGATAGGCTGCACTGATGGGCACTGATAGGTGGCACTGATGAAGATGCACTGGTAGGTGACACTGATTGACAGGCATCACTGATGGGCACTAAAAGGCAGCACTCATATATGGCACTATTAGGAGGCACTATTAGGCAGCACTGACTGGCACTGATAGGCAGCACTGACAGGCACTGATAGGCGGCTCTGATACGCACTGATAGGTGGCACTGACTGGCATTGATAGGTGGCACTGACTGTCACTGATAGGTGACACTGAAAGGCAGCTCAGATGGGCACTGATATGTGGCATTGATGTGCTCTGGTAGGCACTGATATGTGGCATTGATCTGGCACTCATGGGCACTGGCAGGTCGCATTGATGAACACTGACAGCTGGTATTGATGGAGACTGACAGGTGGCACTGCTGGGGCTACACTGATCATCAGGGCACACTGATGATCAGTGTACATGTCCCCTCTGAGGAATGCCGATTACTGGCTCTCCTCTCCTCACAAGCTGTCAGCATGACAACTTGTGAGGAAAGAAATGCGGATAACCAGCATTTCCCAATTTACAAGCGATCAGCTGTGATTGGACACAGCTGATCACATGACCGACCACACATCTTCAGCTCTTTCCGTTGAGCGGTGAACCGCTGTGTCTGAGGGGGACAGTGCACCAGTGATCGCCGCGCTGCATGCACCCGGAGCCTCGCATTCACGGTTAGAGTGGGAGGACGTCATATGACGTCCTCCCGGAACAAGAGAACCACCTTGCGCCTGTCATTTCCTTATATGGCGGCCGGGAGGCGGTTAAAGAAATCCTAAACTAAACATCTTGGTTCTTTGATTCCCTTTGTCATCCAGCCCACGTCTCTGTGTCCTGGCTGTCAGGAACAAACTCTCTGGTCCTCTAGACCAGCCGTTTCCAAACTTTCTAAATAAAGGGCATGTTTACTGTCCTTCAGACTTTAGGGGAGCCAAACTATGACCATTCTGAGTAGAAAAGGTCCCAACATCAGTGGGAAAAGACATTGACACCATCTTTGGTGTCAGTGGGAGGTATTGTGCTGTATCATTGGTGCCAGTGGAAGAAATTGTGCTCCATCCAACATCAGACCTGTGGAAGAAATTGTGCAACATCATTGGAGTCAATGGGAGGATTTGTACCCCTTCATTGGTGTCATTGAACTATGTTGTTGGTGTTGTTGGGAGAAACTGTGCCACATTGTTGGTGTCATTGGAGAGAATTATGCCCCTTCATTGGTGTCATTGGGAGAAATTGTGTCCCATCCTCGATGTCTGTGGGTCCCATTGGTGTCAGTGGGAGAAAGTGGGCCCCATTGGTGTATTTGGAAGGAATTGTGCCCCTTTTTTGGTGTCAGTGGGGGGAAATATGCCCCAATGTTGGTATCAGTGGATGAAAAAGCCGTATAAAAGCAAGCAAAGGGCCATATCTGGCCCTGGACCACAGTTTGGAGACCTGTGCTCTAGACTACAGAGGGTGTTTTCACAAGTGGCTGATTACAGCAGCAACCTGCATGCTAATACAACTTGCCTAGTAACACTATTTCCCTGTGCTGACACCTGCATCCTAGCAACACACACACCTTGTCAAAACAATGCTCTGTCTGCTATTAGAGGAAAGGAGACCTTGCTGGCAAAATGGGGATTTCAATCCATCTGACTGCTCTATAAATCATTAATAAAAACCCAAGCATAAAATGTTACTACAATGTTAGGGATGCCCTAACTCCACCCATACACATGGCTTAGTTAAATCAGATAAGCTGCCAGCTGAAGCTTGGAGAATTCAAGAAGGAGATCACATGACTGAGAATTGTTAGTGACTTTAAACTTTAGAAAAAAAACATCTGGAGAAAAAAAAGATTGATCTTTGCTCAGTAGGCAAGAGGTTGGCTATTGACCACATTATGCTTTCCTGGAATTCTGCATTAAAATGCAAGTTTAGTCTGACACAGAATGTAAATTAGAAATAAACTTTTATTTTAAATCTTTAGCATTAGACCATACATTTTTATATTTGACTCCACTTTTCTGTTCCTTCTAATAGCTAAAAGTGCCTACAGACACCAGATGGTGGCTCCCAGTGCATGCATGATCCAGAGGCCATACAATTATTATTATTTACAATTGCTGTACATACATACTCTTCATGTCAGGGAAACCTTTGTGTTTGTGCTTATGCATAGGGGAGCTCCACCTGTTCTAACCTGTCATGGATGGTTGTTGTGGAATGGCTTGGAAAATCTGTATTGGTTGCTTCCTCCATCAAGAAGAATGGGGATTAGACATTGGAGGAGGTCTATAGACATACAGATGCCTCTCCATAATGACAATGTGAAAGAAGTTAGTTTTGAAATCTTTGCAACTTATTAAAAATAAAAACTACATGTACATAAGTATTCACAGCCTTTGTGCAATACTTTGTGGAAGCACCTTTAGCACCATTTACAGCCTCAAGTCGTTTTGAGTATGAAGCTATAACCTATTTTGGGGCAATTTTTCTCATACTTCTTTGCAGTACCTCTCAAGGTCTATCAAGATGGATGGGGAGCGTCAGTGCACAGCCATTTTCAGATGTCTCTGGAGATGTTCAATCGGGTTCAAGTCTGGGCTCTGGCTGGGCCACTCCAGGACATTCACAGAGTTGGCCCATAGCCACTCCTTCGTTATGTGGGCTGTATTCTTAGGGTCGTTGTCCTGTTGACGGATGAACCATCGCCCTAGTCTAAGGTCCAGAGCACTCTGGAACAGGTATTCATCAAGGATGTCTCTGTACATTGCTGCATTTATCTTTCCTTTGATTCTGACTAGGCTCCCAGTTTCTACTGCTGAAAAACATCCCCACAGCATGATGCAGCCACCACCATGCTTCACTGTAGGGATGGTATTTGTAACAATCATGCACACAGGGAGAGGTGCAGTTCTCCATTTTGCTCCAAACTTCTGCATTTTGGTATTTCTCTTAAACTCCTATGCAACCACCTGAGGGGGGAGGTGTAACACATTGGTTGGCAGCGTATGTGGGATAGTTGCATTAAGAGCTTCAGTGCAGCGTTAGAAATTAGCTCTACACTGAAAGATTGTAACCTTTGTGGAAACAGTCCTTAGAAATAAGCGGTGCATATCTGCAGTTCCCTCCCATGCAACCACCTGAGGGGGGAGGTGTAACAATCATGCAAACAGGGAGAGGCGCAGTTCTCCATTTTGCTCCAAACTTCTGCATTTTGGTATTTCTCTTAAACTCCCATGCAACAACCTGAGGGGGGAGGTGTAACAATCGTGCACACCAGAGCAGACACGATCCTTATTTTGTTAAGAATCCTTAATGTTATCCCCTCATTCCCCCTCCCTCAGGAATGCAATCAGTGTATGATGCTGAGCCCCTGCCTAACAATCCTTTTGAACAAATAAGGCAATTGGCTTACTGTTGTAAGAAGATACCAGTTGATTTTGTGTAGAAAAAGAGGCTGTTATGTTTTGTGTGTAGACAGAGAAGTGAGGACCTTCTGCGTTTTAACATCTAGCAGACTGAGAGAAAGGGGAATCGCGCTGTAACAACGAAACTGAGTGCGAGACCAGAAATCCCTTTTTAGCTCATCAGACTTGAAACTGCTTAACCCCAGGCATCTATTTGGCAAGTACTTATTTACCTAAACTTATTTCTGTTATCTGTTTGCTGTGCTGTTGTGTTCTGTATATTTATATATATATATATATATATATATATATATATATATATATATATATATTGGTTACATCTTGTTTCTGTAAATATTTCTACTGCACCCTTTTGACCTTTTAGTAATAAACCTTACGTTCTGAAAGCGCTGAACTGTTTCTATAGCTCTCGAATGTAACTTATGAATCCCTGCCACCGAAGAGCGCTACTATGAGTGTTTAACCCTCTGTATAACCTGTCTGCGGAGTTAGCGGTATACCGACGATTAACCAATCATCCTAGTGTATTGCTGAGTTTCCTCTTTCTCTATACAAAAAGGAGGTGGTGGCAGTGTGAAGGGTTAATTGCGCAATTAACCTGACCCAGTAACAAATGCTCCCAGGCTGCAGGTACGTCGATTGTGGTCCAATTAGCTGGAAAATCGGTGTGCAGGGTGCAGCTGGGCGTGGTATTGTTACGCACATGACATCGCGGTGTTAGATTGGCTAGTCCTTCGGTCACGAGTTGGTGAGAAGGTCAGGGGTCTGACGCTGCGCCCGTCACAGTATTGGCTAGGTGGTATCTTCCAGACATGATGCTTGGCATTCAGGCTAAAGAGTTAAATTTTTGTTTCATCAGGCCAGAGAATTTTGTTTCTCATGATCTGAGAGTCCCTCAGGTGCCTTTTGGCAAACTTCAGGTGGGCTGCCATTTGCCTCTTACTGAGGAATGGCTTCCATCTGGCCACTCTACCATACAGGTCTAATTGGTGGAGTGCTGCAAAGATGGTCATTCTTCTGGAAGGTTGTCCTCTCTCTCCACATAGAAACGCTGGAGCTCTTTCAGAGTGACCATCGGGTGCTTGATTATCTCCCTGGCTAAGGCCCTGCTCCCTCGATCGCTCATTTTGGCCGGGTGGCCCACTCTAGGAAGATTCCTGGTGGTTCCAAACTTCTTCCATTTACAGATGATGGAGGCCACTGTGCTCATTGGGACTTTCGATGCTGCAGAATTTTTTTTGCACCCTTTCCCAGATCTGTGCCTTGATACAATCCTGTCTCGGACGTCTATGGGCAATTCCATGGACTTCATGGCTTGGTTTGTGCTCTGACATGCACTATTAACTGTGGGACCTTATATAGACAGGTTTATGCCTTTCCTAATCATGTCCAATCAACTGAATTTCCCACAGGTGGACTCCAATCAAGTTGTGGAAACATCTCAAGGATGATCAGTGGGAACAGGATGCACCAGAGCCTAATTTTGAGTGTCAAGGCAAAGGCTGTGAATACTTACAGTATGTACATGGGTTTTTTTTTTTGGTTTTTATTTTTAATAAATTGCAAAGATTTCAAAACAAACCTCTTTCACGTTGTCATTATGGGGTATTGTTTGTGAAATATTGAGGGAAAAAATGAATTTAATCCATTTTTGAATAAGGCTGTAACATAACCAAATGTGGCAAAAGTTAAGCACTGTGAATACTTTCTGGATGCACTGTAACTGTGCCCAATAGATCTTGGAAGGCTGTCCAGGATTTGCAGGGATCCACTTCAGCACAATTGATGGCGGGTGGCCCCTGGCTGATGCCTGGAGCTAACATTTGGTATAGAGGTACAAGGAAAGCCCTAGTGAGCTAAAGGAAGAAAAAGTGATCTGCTGCTCCTGCTCCATGGGTTAAGTGAAAGAGACACACCCAGGTGACAGTAAAAGGAAATGGTTTGGCATGTGATCAC